AACTACTTCTCATTACTACTGAGAGTCAACATTTGAATAAGCATGCTGATATGTATTAGTGACGTATGTGTGATAATACGACGGGGCATAGGTGACGGAGAATAATAACAAGACAACAATTTCACTCTCTCACTAAGTAGCACTCTCTCACTAAGTAGCACAATTTCACTCTCTCACTAGTAGTGTGTATGTGTGATTATGATAATACCGCAATAACAGCGATCCCTCTATGTTGTGAGAAAGAGAATAATGTCATCTGCATAGAATGATAACAGTTATTGTGAATTAACTTTTAATATCAAGGGGCAAGGCCACACATTAAATTCTGAGATATCAGATGTTTATATTAAATTAAATATAAGCAAAAATGGTAAAAATGCATGTAATTAGTGCTGGCCGTAACGTAGACATTTAAAAATAAATAAAATTTAATAGAATTATATGTAAAATAAAAGTAAATTTAATAAAAAATATAAATAGAATTTAATAAAAATTTAAAAAAATCTAAATTTTAAAATAATTATAAAAAATACATTAAACAAAATATAACAAAAATACATTTTTAGTTAATCGATATGAAAATTCTTTGGAAAAAATGAACAATTAGTGCATATAGTAACGTAAAAGGATATAAATTAAAATTTAATTTTTTAAAAAATATATTTTTTAATATTGTGTTGAACAAATTCAAATAAATTTTGTGATAATTAAATACATTAATATTCCCAATTATTCAAAAAAGAAATAAATACAAATTATTCGAAAAAACACTTGTACACATAGAAAGCAAACCACAGCCATACATAAAAATTCAAGATTTTTTTTCGTTCGCATCTACACTATCTCCAAATGGTATTTTGGAATAGTTGTTTTTGGAGAAATCTATTTTAGTCTATTTGGGTGTGTGTACTTTTTTTCGAATTTGTTTTTTTTCTGTGGTATGCCAAAATGTGATTTTGGCTTGGCTTTGTGCTAAATGTTTTAAACAGAAAAAATTCTCCATAAACATGTTCGAATGGATATTCTAGTTTTTCTTTGGAGAAAATAAACAAACATGATGATGTTTTGCAATAACAACAACAATAACAGAGCATATGAGATTTTATTTTTTCATTGAAAATAATAGCATGTGCTAGATTTTTTTTCTGTTAGCAGAAATAAAAAATCATTTATAGAATAAGTGTTAAATTCCAACAACAACAAGAACAAATTGAAGATATTCTTCTTTTTATATTTTATTATGAAATTTGAAATCTGTCGGAAAGAAACAAAATAATTGCATTTGACCTTCAAAAGTTTAGAATTCCGAAAATAAATAAAAATAAATTATTTTTAAAGCCAAAAACTAAAAACATAATAAATTTAATTTGAAAGATAATTAAAATAAAAAAGATTAAATTAAAAAAAAACAATTAAAATAAAAAAAAATTAAATTAAAAAAAAAATTAAAAAAATAAAATAAAATAAAAAATTAAAGTAAAAATTTAAATGACAAAAAAAAAATAAAATTAAAAAAAAAAAAATAAAATAAAAAAACAATAAAATTAAAAATAAAAAATAATAAAAAAATTAAATTAAAAAATTAATAAAAACTTAAAATTAAATTTCTATATAAAATATGAATAAAATTAAATTTTATTTAAAATATAAAAACATAAATTAAATTAAATTACACCATTTTTTCGTTTAAAAAATACCCCCTAGGCTTACAAAAATCATTTCACTTCATTTAACCAAAAATGGCATTTTGAACAGCTGATTTGTGGTTGCTCAGCACATCTTCGCTCTCTCTCATAAAAAAATAAAAAAACACCTCACTATAATTGATTGCACGCGATATGTGTCAAATATATCTTGTCTCGGTATCAAAAATACCCAGAGTGTTCTTTAAATTATCTTTTTCCGATTTCATTGACACATTTGGCATCAAAATTGCCCCTCAAACGCCCACACACTTGTGTTTGTGTGTGTCAGCATCATTGCAGACTTTTTTCTCTGCTGAATGTGTCGACATGACAAATCAGAAGAATATCCTCTTTTTGATAATGGCAATACATACAACACGATGACACTCATCGTCGTCGTCATTGATGATAGCAACGGCAATCAATTGGCAATCGTTTGTTGTTCTTTTTTTTTGTTGTTTCTTCTTTTTCTTTTGTTTGATTTACATTATTACAAGTACCACCCACCTTTACCTACCTACCACACATAAACTACAATTGCCTTTATGTGCAAATTCTTAATGCTAATTCGTCTTCTTCTTTTGTGATTTACTTTTTTGCTCATGTTTTACTTTTTTGTCTTTTGCCTTTGAACACAACACTTACATGTGTTTGTTTGTCTAGTTAATATGTTTGTTATTTAATAACATGGTTTGTTCTTGTTTCATTTTTCTTATTCTTTTTCTTACCGCCAACAACAACAACAGCAACAACAATAAACCGAAAGACAACTTAATACACTTACTCATTATCGCAAAAGTTCAATTACCTGTGTATGCTTGCATGATTGCATTTGCTCTTATGTTACATATACATACTATGGTAGTACCGCATGACATATTTAACGCCGTCGCTGTTTGTCATCATAGCTGCCGACGCCGTTACGACGTTGACATCATCACATTGTTGTTGTTATTGTTTTGCACTGAAACGGCAGCCAGCACTCGCCACTACTTGACATGTGTGTTTTACATTTTTTTCATTTAACTGTTACGTTGGGGGGATATGTGTGGTGCTCCCAGTTCTATTGTTCTCTCTCACTCTCTCACACTAATATATAAAACCCTTTTGGTTCTTTTTCTCAACCGTGTTAAACTAATCAACATTATCAATCTTGCTCCAACCTGCTATCAAATTGTCATAAAGTGGAGGGAATTTTTGTTTTGTTTTTTACTTTCGCTATTTTACCTTTTTTTTCCTATAATTTAATGTGTGTGGTGAGGTGGTGATGATTGCTGTGTGGCTCCCCTTGTGTGCTACACAGTGTAATTTATGACCATATATTTCTCTATGCAATTTTTGTTTGCAAATTTCTCTATGAAAAAAAATAATAAAGTTGCATTTTTGTGTGTGATTTTTTGTTTGTTGTTGTTTTCAATTGCAAATTATTGTCACGGTTGTGTGTTTAGTTTTTGCACAGGTGTAGATATGTTTGTACCAGCAGGAAGTAAATTTTATGCAAAAAAAGACTGATTGATTGCTGACAGTTGTTAGACAATTGATATTAGGATGAACTGCCAATTACTAGAGTTTAAGGCAGCGGAAACCTGACCTTGAAATTTAATAAAAAATAATAAAAAAATACAAATTTAAATTAAAAAAATAGTAGTAAATTATTTTTTGTGTTTATTTATTTCCATATCATTTTATTTATTTTTAATTAAATTTCATTAAAATGTTTTTTATTTTATTTTTATTATTATATATAATTTTTCATAAAATTTTAATTATAAATATTATTTATTTATTATATAGTATTTTATATTTATGTTTTTAATTGATTTTGTGCAATTTTTCATTGACTTTGTGGCCTCAGTGCAATTTAATTATGTTACCATATGATCTGTCATATTTTCTCTGATACTCGTATCTCTCCCTCTCCCCAATTTTGATATCTCCCTTTTACATTGCAACAAAATACATATGTTCCCCCATTTGAAATGCAGACACAAATGTGTGTTTGTCTTCTTTTTCTCTGCCTTACAAATGTTTTTCCTTTCATTTCCATTTTTAATTTATTATTATTATTTTAGTTTATAGTGTTTAACCATCTGTTTTAATAATAAATTCTATTTTATTAATTTTAATGAGGTCGAAATATACCCCATTTCTTTTCTTTTGTATTAAAAGAAGGAGAAAAAACCCGTCAACTTTCTCCGTGCATGCATGCACAAGTCTTGATTGGGGAAAAACTGTCATGTTTTTTTGTTGCTGATTTTGCTTGCCTCCCTCTCTCTCGCTTGCTCTTACTGTACATTACCACGGGGGCTCTTCCTGTTTTTTTGTTGTTTTTTTCAATGCAAATACAAATTTTTCTTCTTGCTTGCTTTTGAAAATGAAAATAAGGGGGAGCAAACAAACGAAAAACATGCTCAATTATTTGTTGTTGGTGGGTTGGTGCTTTTTTGTTTTTCCCATTTGAATGTTGAGGTCATAGCTTAATTATGTACAATGGTGGATACAAACAGACAGACAGTAGGAGCAGAAGAACATTTGATGGCGCGAGAGAAGGAATAAAAGACAGAGAGCAGATATGTGAGAGTATGTGAGTGTGTGTGTGCCCCACTCTATTGTGTGAAATAAGTGGTTGGTTAAATGTTTTTTCTTTTGGTTTTTAGTTAAGGAGGGGGAGGTTTTGTACGGCAACGGCGGGAGGTCGGTGGTGTGTTGTTAGCACGAGAATGGTCGTTCGGTCGGTCGTTTGGTTGTTATGTGTGTGAGGCCGACAAACACCCACCCCACCATATAACACCCCAAAAAACTGCAATTGCTGTTTCTCATTCTCTTTCCCTATTCTGTGTTCTCTTGTTTAAATTCACTCTCTCATTCTCTTTGCATTTGAAGTGTGTGAGCGGCGTGCCTACGGGAGTTTTCCTTGCTCAGTTTTGTCTTTTTTGTGGATTTTCGTTGTTTTTGTAGTTTAACTATGATGACGACACTTTTTCATCATCATATAGACGCCAACTAACTTAGAGACAGGGTGTGTGTTGTTTGGTAATAGCCTCGTCGTTCCGTGAATTAAATAAAATGTAGTATTTTATTCAATTTAATAAATTATTTAAATATTTTTTCCATTCTTTATATTCTAATGAAATTCTCTTCTTTTTTTGCAGAAAGATTTTGCAAGGCTGTACGTGAGTGTGCTGTGTTGTGATTGTGTGTGTGTGCTTCTTGCAATAAAAGAAGAAGAATTGAATTGATTTTGCAAAGAGGAGGCACCTTTTATTTTTTTGGAAGCAGGCAAATCCAGGGATACGGCACGGTTCGTTTATCGCAATATATTAGCACACATAATTTCCAACAAAAATGACTGAAGTTGAGCAACCACCACAGAATGGCATTGATTTGTCGGCCAATGAAGAAGATGACAATAGCAAATCTCGTCCAGCTGATATAGAACAGGTAAGTAAATTGGGCTCTCACTCACTACTGACCTCACTATTGATTTTCCAAACTTAATTTTTATTCAAACGTATGTATGTATGGGTGTGTGTGCTAAATTTCATATTTTTCTTCTTCCATTTAGGATATGCGCGAAATGGAACGACGCAAACGTGTCGAAGCTATTATGGGTTCCAAACTCTTCCGTGAAGAGCTTGAACGTATTGTTGATTCAGCACGTGATAGTGGCAATGCCGATGGTATCCTCCAACAGCTGTCCGATATTGTGGGCGTACCAGCCACCCGTGTCGGCAGTGTATTCCGTGCCTCAAATTGTATGCAACCCATTAATGATATACGTGGTGTTGAATCCATGGGCTATGCCAAGGGTGAAAAGATTTTACGTTGCAAATTGGCTGCCACATTTAGGCTATTGGATTTGTATGGTTGGACCCAGGGATTGGGTGCCCAAATTACCGCCCGCCTTAAGGTGGATCAGGAATATTTCTTGGTCAATCCATATGGGTTGTTGTATCATGAGATAACGGCCTCATCCCTTAATAAGGTGGATATGCAGGGCAATATTGTCGAGCAGGGTACCACCAATTTTGGTGTTAACAAAAGTCGTAAGTGGTGTTTAGGAGAAGGAGAGGAAGAATAATTAAAACAATTTAATTTGTTGTATTTTTGTTTAGATTTTGTTTTACACTCCATTGTCCATGCCGCTCGCCCCGACATCCGTTGCATTATCTACATTGGCTGCAGTCCAGTGGTGGCCATTTCTTCGCTGAAAGCTGGCCTCTTGCCCCTGACCAAGGATGCCTGTGTCTTGGGTGAAATTACCACACATGCCTATGCCGGTTGTCTTGTCGATCAAGATGAACGTGAAAAATTGGTACGCAATTTGGGTCCCAATTCCAAAGTAATGCTCTTGACCAATCATGGTGCCTTGTGCTGTGGTGAAACCATTGAGGAGGCATTCTTTGCCGCCTGCCACATTGTTCAGGCATGTGAGACACAATTGAAACTACTGCCAGTGGGTTTGGATAATTTGGTCTTGATCCCCGAAGAATCACGTAAAATTATCTATGAGAAATCACGCAGTCCACCCGAAGATTTGGCTAAGAAATTTGCCGCAGCTGCCAGTATTGATTCGAATAAAACCGAAGATTCAGCGGCTGAAGAGAAGAAAGAAGGCGGCGCTGAAGAGAAGAAGGAAGCAGCAACCACCAAGGTTTTGGGTCAGACACCAAAATGGCGTGTTGGTGGTGCTGAATTTGAGGCCCTTATGCGTATGTTGGATAATGCCGGCTATCGTACCGGGTATATCTATCGTCATCCATTGATTAAATCGGAACCACCAAAACCCAAAAATGATGTTGAACTACCACCGGCCGTTTCATCGTTGGGCTATTTGCTGGAGGAAGAGGAACTTTTCCGTCAAGGGTAAATCCCCCTTAATTCTATTTGGATTTTTTATTTGGAACATTTTATTAACATTTTGTTGTTGTTGTTTTTTCTAGCATTTGGAAAAAGGGCGTTGCTGGCAAGGGTGGTGATCGCAGCCGCTGGTTGAACTCCCCCAATGTCTATCAAAAGGTGGAAGTCTTAGAAACCGGTACACCAGATCCCAAAAAGATTACCAAGGTAGAGATAATAACATTTGAAGATAAACCACAAACAAATGACAATTAAAATTAAGAGTTAACCCCCCACCCCCTTACCCCCATGAATGATCATAATGACAATTTTAATTCCCATTTTCCGAAAATTGAAAAATTATTTTTTTTCAATTGAAAGAAATTGTGGAAATGAAAGTTAAACGAAAATCTATGAAAAAAAATATTTTTTGGGGAATTTTTATTTAGCTTTTTTCCAATATTTAAAAAACACATTCCTTTATTTAGTGTTTATTTTTTGTCTCCTTTATATTTATGTATTTTTATGCAAAGCACAAAATATTTTAGTTCAAATTTATTTTCTTATTTTTTGGAAATTAAAATTCCTTTTTTTAATTATATTATTTTAAATTAAGTTAACAAAATGTTTCCTTTTTGCAAATCTACCTAGTCTTTGTTTAAAAGAATTTTTTATTTGCTGCCATACAATTTTTTAAAGAAATACTTTTTAGATTAAAAAAAAACTAGAAAAATATATAAAACAAATATATATTTTCACGAAAAAAATTAACCAGCAATTAAAATATTGTAGCTTTTTATTAAAAATTTAACAAACACTCCATTCCAAAATATTACAACACCACCCCTTCTTAACCAAAAATCAAAAAATTAAAAAAAATTTTATAACGCCCAAAATAACAACATAAAAGAAAATAAAAAAATATATATGAAATATTCGCGCTTTGTATGTCGTCATCAATATATATATATATATATCTATCTATGTCTATCAACATTTTTATTTATATTATTATTACAATATACATTACTATGTAATAACAAAAACAAAAATATTCAATAAAAAAGTGTAGAAACTTGCGCAATGTTCTCTATATATGTCATAAATGTAATCAAACAAAAACAATGATAATTAATATATACAACAAATCGAAGTATCAAATGTGGATAATAATTTTGTGCCTTAGAAGGAAGCAACCAGGGAATCGCGTAATTGGGAGTAGTTTCTTCTCCACTACTTGGTGTAATAATGGGGCTATTCTTCTTCTTCCTCTTAATTTTAAAATTATTATTGTTGCCCGACCCCCAGTTTCCTTTCAAATCACCCATTAATCTTGGCCCCCACACCCCTCTCTCAAGTCAATGTGAAAGAGAAAGAAAAATAATTGTAATTGGATCAATGTTTTATTTTAAATGAAATTTGAAAAAAAAATATGATAGAAAAATTATTTTTTGTATATATATAAATTAAAAAAAAATATATATATATATATTGAATATTTTTTCCAAAGATTTTTTTGTTTAAGGAACCTTTCTTAGGACACATAAATTTTTGATTACAAAAAAAATATATATAATATTTTTATATATAGAAAATATAAATTTATTTTCTAAGAAATTTTACTTTCTAAATAATATTGAACAAAAATATTTACTTAAAAAATTGTCTTAGGGAAAATTTTTTTTTTATATAGATGATTCCCTAGAATTAAAAATATTTATATTGTTCATTAGGTATTTCGAAAGTTTTTCCCTAGCTTTAAAGATATAAATAGTTTTCAATAAGCATTTCGAAATTTCAATAATTTTTCCATTTCTTTTATTTTTTCTTAAATTTTTTGCTTAATTTTTTTTTTTAATTTTTTTTAATTTTTTTTAATTTTTTTTTATTTTTTTAAATTTTTTTTTAATTTTTTTTTTTAATTTTTTTTTAATTTTTTTTTTTTTTTAATTTTTTTTTTTTAATTTTTTTTTTTTAATTTTTTTTTTTTTTTTTTTTTCTATTATAACAAAAAATATTTTTTCTGAAAAATTCATTTGTATTGTAAAAAAATTAACTTTTTTTGGAAAAATACTACAGAAAGTGTCATGGGAAAATATTTTCGAAATACTTATTTTTTTCACAAGAAAATGTTTTTTTATTTAAAAAAATATTTTTATTAAAAAACTTTTTTTTGGCAATTTTTTTTCATATCGAAATTGGAAATTTTATTTACCATTTTTTCTGAAAAACAATGTATTAAAAAATATGTTCCATAAAATATATATAAAAAAATGAATTTGATTTTTAGATTATTTTATAAGGAAATTTTCAACATAACCTCAAAAAAAGTTTAAAATGATATAATGTAAAAATATTTAAAAAGATATTTAAAGTAATACCACATTATTTCCTCTGAATCAATAGTACCTGAAATATTCTTTTTTTAGAATTTTTGTAAACATAACCTTAAAAAATTAAAAAGTCGAAAATTATTTAATAATTCTAAAAAATTACATGTGGTTAGATATACTTGACAAAATATTTTCAATATAAGTGGATTTTTATAGTGTTTTCAAAAATATTCATTTTTAAGGATTTTTTTTGGTAAACATAACCTCAAAATAATTTAATTTATAATGTAGCAAAAAATTACAATTTAAAAGAAATTGCATGTCTAAAAACACTTGACAAGATTTTTTAATATTTGAGGTTATGTTTTTTTTTTGAGAGCGACGATAATTTGATATTTTATATTATTTTTTTTCATTGCATGTTTTTGGAACATTTTTGTTGATGTAATGAACATGATCTTAACTGAACTTCCTTAAGGAAAATTTCTTCATTCACTGTTTTTATTATTTTTTTATTTTCATTATTTTTTGTTTGTTTTTCATGTTCAAATTCTTTTTTGTTCTCTAGATATGTTGAGATTATGATCTACACCCCCTCTCGCTAGTTATTCATAGGTCTTCATTACTTCCTTTTTTTGGCACAAAATTATTTTACTAAAAAAATCACCATAAAAAAACATTAATTATCATAAATTATTTTTTTCTTTTTATTGTTATTTTAACATTTATTAACATTTTTTTTTTGTCATGACATCATACTTGAACTAAATTTCTCACTTTGTTTTTTTTTTTTCTCCTAATTTCATCATTCATTCATTGTTACAAACATATATACTGTCGCTAATTAAGTTAAATTTAAGGCAATTTAGTTAAAATATTTTCAAAATTATTTGTTTTTGGTGTTAGTAACACAGTTTGAGCTTTGACTATTTGAAGCTGCAATGTAGAAACTATGACAAGAATTTTTCTATAATTACCAATTCGTTTTCGTTATTTTTATTAATATATGTCCGATCTAACGATTTCTTTTGTTCAGTGACCTATAGTGAAATTTGGTGTAGAATATTTTTTCCATTGGAAACAACTATCTAAAATGAAGTATACTTAGTGTTTTTTTTTTATTAATATATTTTCGATCTATCGATTTCTTTTGTTCAGTGACCTATAGTGAAATCTTGTATAGAATATTTTTTCCATTGGAACCACCTCGCTTAAATTAAGTATACCAAGTGAATTTGCTACCATTTCTTAACCATAACCTAAAAATATGTTTTCTAATAAACTCCTATTTGTTTTCGGTTTTTTATTAATAAAAACTCGATCTACCGATTTCTTTTGTTCAGTGACCTATACTGAAATTTAGTACAGAATATTTTTTCCATGGGAACCATCTCCCTGAAATGAAGTATACTTAGTGAATTTGCTACCATTTCTTAACCATAACCTAAAAATATGTTTTCTAATAAACTCCTATTTGTTTTCGGGTTTTTTTATGAATAAAAACTCGATCTACCGATTTCTTTTGTTCAGTGACCTATACTGAAATTTAGTACAGAATATTTTTTCCATGGGAACCATCTCCCTAAAATGAAGTATAATTAGTGAATTTGCTACCATCTCATAACCATAACCTAAAAAATATGGCACCATTTGAAATAAATTAAAAAAATAACCTTAAACTATAACATCCCTCTGAAATAATCTATATATGTTTTTATTGTGATGACTTCAAATTTTTAATTGACCTTTGACCTAGAAATTTGTCATAGATACCAATTAATTTATTTTCTATTTATGTATGCTCGAAAGAGAGCTTCAAAAAGTTTAAAATAAAAAAATATGCAAATATTTGTTAAGATAAATCATTTCTAAGATAATTTTGTTAAAGTATATTTATACTTGATAGTTTATTTAATAGTTATTAACAATAGTTCTTAAAAACAATTAACTTTTTTGTGAAAAGCAAACAACAGTTTTACTATAACGAATTTATTTTTCTTTCTCTTTCCATTGTTCCTCCACTTGATCTCTGCTACGTTGTTATACATCAATCACCACACACAATGGTCCCAAATTTTTTTCACATCCATCACATACAATTTACCCCCAAACCACCTTCTCAAAAACAACAACATCACAGTGGGTTGCTGAAGGTTCACCCACACATTCAACACCAGTACGCATTGATGATCCATTACAATTTGTGCCAGTCAATACAAATCCCAAGGAATTTAAACGGGTACAACAACAGGTAAATTAATTTCAATTTAATTTCTTCCATCATTTAAATTAATATCCCCATATTCTCTCTCTTCAGATCAAGGATAATCGTCGTGCCGATAAAATTTCCGCCGGTCCACAATCACACATTTTGGAGGGTGTCACCTGGGATGAGGCCAATCGCCTTAAAGATGCCACTGTCAGTCAAACCGGTGATCATGTTGTGCTAATGGGTGCCGCCTCCAAGGGTATTATACAACGTGGCTTCCAACACAATGCTACCGTCTATAAGGCACCATATGCCAAGAATCCATTCGATAATGTTACCGATGATGAGCTGAATGAATACAAACGCACGGTGGAACGTAAAAAGAAGAGTATTCATGGTGAATGTAAGTTTGCAACGCACACTCATACGAAAACATGAATCAGATTAATATAATAATTTTTATATTTCATTTTTTTTAGATACTGATACAGATTTCTCAGAATCTGAGGCGTTGAGTTCACTGCAAACATCAGGCGCACAACAACAAACTAAACAAAATACCACTACCACAACAACAACTGCCGCTGTTAGTCAATCAGAGCCAGAAGATGTTTCAGGTATTTTTTTTGTTTTTGACTTTTTCTTTGTTAAATAGTATAGCTTACAATTTCTATTGTTCGGTGACCCATAGTGAAATTTTGTGTAAAACATAACCTCCATTAGGGCCACATCTCTAAAATAACGATTTCCATTACATTTTGGCTTCATTTGAAATTAATCAACAAATTAACCTCAAAAAGTGTGTGTTTGAATTTGTTTTCCATATTTTTTGGTTATATATTATGTATACCGATTTTTTATGGTGTAGAATATAACTTCCATTGATACCACAACTCTATAATTAAGTTTTCAAAAAGAATTTTGCTCCATTTCAAATGAATCAACATATAATCCTAAACATAGCCTTTAACCCCTGATGTCTCAATTAGTTTGCACTGTTTTTATTGCTATCCGTTATATATACCAATTCTTGGTGTTAGGTGATCCATAGTGAAAATTTGTGTAGAAAATAATTTCCATTGTCGTCATTACTCTAAAGTGGAGTTTTCCAGGAAAATTTGTCTTAATTTGAAGTTAACCTAAAAAAATTATTTTGCTTAAATGTCTCATTTTTATAACGATTTTTTTTATACACATATATTATATCAAGCGATTTCTTGTGTTCGGTGGGTGACCCATTGTGAAATTTTGTGTAGATCATAATTCCCATTGGGGTCATCGCTCTTAAATGAATTATTCGTGGAAAATTTGATCTGATTTGAAATTAACCTTCAAAAAAATATTTTGCCTAAATGTCTCAATTTGTTACAGATTTTTTAAAGGCTCAAATTATTCCTACCGATTTCTTTTATTCGGTGACCCATAGTGAAATTTTGTATAGAACATAATTCCCCTTGGGGTCATCGCTCTAAATTGAAGAATTCTAGGAGAATTTGTCTACATATTCACATAAGTGTGATAATTTGCCTTAAAACTAGTCTTACCGAGTCTCAATTCGTAGGCTATGTTTTATTGTTATTTGTTATATTTACCGATTTCTTGTGTTCGGTATTTTTGGTGATATATAGTGAAATTTTGTGTAGAACATAATTTCCATTGGCGTCATCACTCTAAAATGAAGTTTTCGCGGAAAAATTGTCTTAATTTGAAATTAACCTAAAAAAATAATTTTGTTAAATGGTTTAATTTGTTACCGATTTTTTTTCACAGATTTATATTATATCAACCGATTTCTTTTGTTCGGTGACTCATAGTGAAATTTTGTGTACAACATAATTTCCATTGGGGTCATCGCTCTAAAATGAAGGATTCCAGGACAATTTGCCTCGGTTTAATAAAAACACTTATTAAATTAACCTTGAAAATTGGCTTGCCCAAAAAATCAATTTGTTATCGATTTTTACAGCTATCTGTTATGTCTATCGATTCATATTGTTCGGCGACCTATAGCGAAATTTTGTGTAGAACATAACTTCCAGTGTGGCCATTACTCCAAAATTATTTCTTCCTGGACAAATTGACTCCTCTTCAAATGTATCGTTAAATCTCCAAATTAACCTTAAAAAAATGTCTCAATTTGACTCAATCTGTTAGTGTTTTTTCATGAATTTCCCATAGTGAAATTTTGTGCAGTACATAATTTCCATTGGCGTCATCACATCAATGAAGTATTCCTTGGAAATTTGTTCAGATTTGAAATTAACCAAAAAAATATATTTTGCTTACTATTATTTATAATTTTTTAATTTTTTTTATTACTAATTAATTTGATTTTAATTAATAATTTTTGTTCTCTCCACCTTTTCAGAACATCAAGTGATGAGAATAGAAACACAACAAGCCCCAGTTCCCAGTCAGCCCGAAGTAGTTTTGAGCGACGGTAAGTTTTTATTACCTATATTTTTGTTTAGCTTTTACCTTAGCCAGTCCATTGTCCTTTGAGTTTTCTAAATTAAAAATTTTCCAAAAATTAAATTTTTTGTGTTTTGCATTTGTCCAAAAATTGAATTTAAATTTGAATTTGTTTCGAGTGTCTTAAAAAATTATTTTTTTTGTATTATTATTTTTTGTTTTTGTGTTTAACAACAATTTGGCTTTTAATGACGATAATATTTGTTTATATACAAAAATTCGTTTTGTTTTTTATGTTATTATTATTATTTTTTAATACTTTTCATTTTTATTTCTTTTGTTTTTTTGTTTCGATTTTAATTAATATTATGGTATTTTGTTTACCAAAGAAAAAGAACAAACAACTTCCCGAAATTTAGTTGTTGAACAAAAACGTAAAAAATCGGAAAAATCGTCCTATATTGTAGTGGTTAGAACTGATCATTTATTGTGCATTTTTGATATGCTATCGATAACATTTCTTTAGAATTGCTATTACCTATATTTTTTTTTGTAAAAGGAAAAAGGGCTATAGATTGTATTTTTATTTTTGTTTTGAAAAAAAGTATTTTAACCCAAAAAAACTATTTTTTTCAAATACGCTAATTTTTTTCACAGAGCCTACATGTTGTACGGCGTGTTATATGAGATAATTTTTAAATAGCTATGCATACAACAACAATAATATTACCAAGCAACCAATTTTCTACAACAACAACTTGTACTACTACTGCTAATAACTACTATCAACAACTACTTCTACTACTACCCACTCTAGTGTAACACTCTTCTAAGGCCAACTATTATCTAATAATCCCCCTATTTTTTTGAAAACTCTATTCTGTCTAACCCCAAACACTCATCCCCAACACAAAATCTTTTTATATAGCAAAGAAATTTAATGCACAACTATTAAAAAAACTATTTTTATAATTTCATAACACACAGACCCCTCTAAATTTTTAAACTTAGGAAACAGCTGCAGTTTTTTAGAATTTGAAATTTTTGTTGAATTTTTTTTTTCGCCAAGAAAATGAAATCTGAAAATTTTTTTAAATTGGAAAAATTTTAAAATTTAATTTTCAAAAAAAAAAAAAAATGAAAAATTTCGAAAATTTAAAAAAAATACTTATTTTTTTTTAATTTAAAAATTTTTTATTGAAAATTTTAAAAAAATTTTAAGTTTTTATCAATTTGTAGATTTTTTTTTTAATTTTTTCCAAAATTATTTTTTTTTTTTTGTAAATATGAAAAACAAAATCTGCTTTATAATACACCCCCAAAACAACAACAACTTAAAAATGAAATTTTTTTTATTGTTTTTACCCTAAAAAAAATGTTTGTATTTTTTTCTACCCCCCTCCATTGGAAATTGAAACAGCCCGCTCAAAAAAGAAAAAGTAAATTGGTAAAACGGAATTCATAATAGTTTAGAATAACAAGTTTTTTAACACAAGAAAAGCCACAAGCGGTGTTCATAACATTGGCCAGTCCTTAGTTTTTTTTTAATTTTCTACCTTACAATACACACACACACACACAAACCCTCTTCGAAGATCGTCCCACGACACACAAAAGTCTGAAGCATAAATTTTTAGAGATTTAGAATCAAACTCAACGAAATCGCCAGTTTTCCTTCAATTTCCAAATCAAAATTTTTTAATTTACTCTCAACTTCGTCAACATCAAATCGAATCGAATCAAAGTGAGGTGAGTTTCTCTGCTATTTATTTTGTTTTTTGGTACATCTTCAAAAAATCAACCAATCAATCTCTAGTGTGTAGTTTCTCACAACCCACACACACACACACCAGCATTTCAAATGAACATTTTTTTCAATATTTTTTTATTTCATAAAATTATTAAATAAAAATTGAAAACATCAAAATCATTTGGTGTTCGCTTCACAATCATTTGTGGAAACAAATTTAATTTCCTTTTGCCTCACTTTAATTTTTTTGTTTGTTAACTATCACTTGGTTTTTTTTTTATAAAATCTGATAAAAAGAAGAAGCAAATTTTCATTATGTTGCCACTGTTATACGAAAAAAATAAAACTGTTATACGCCACTTAACATAACTAACATAGGATGATAAAAAATGAAATTAACAAAAAGTATTCTCTCCCCACTTTTTATCCAGGTTCTGTTATATCTACCGATTTCATTTGTTCGGTGACCTATAGTGAAATTTTGTGTAGAACATAATTCCCCTTGGGGCCATAAATTTAAATTGATTTTTTTGCAGGATAATTAAGTCTCATTTAAAATCATTTTATAATTTAGCCTTAAAAATATATTTCATGAAAATCTTAATTTCTTTCAATTTTTTTTATTGGTTTTCGTTATATATACCGACTTTTTTTGTTCGGTGACCCATAGTGAAATTTGGTATAGAACATAATTCCTATTGGGGTGCATCACTCTAAGATGAAGTCTTCCAGGAAAATTTGGCCTCATTTGAAATCAATTTATAAATTAGCCTTAAAATGTATTTTCAATTGTATCAATTTGTTGGTGATTTTTTTATTGGTTTCCGTTATATATACCGACTTCGTTTGTTCGGTGACCCATAGTGAAATTTGGTGTAAAACATAACTTCCATTGGGACCATCGACCTATTATAAAGTCTTCCAGGAAAATTTGGCTTTATTCGAAATGAATTCAAAAAATTAACCTAAAAATTTTTTTCTTTAGAGTATCAATTTGTTGGCAATATTTTTTATTGTTTTCTGCTATATCTACCGATTCATTTTGTTTGGTGACCCATAGTGAAATTTAGTGTAGAAAATAATTCCCATTGGGTGCATCACTCTAAAATGAGGGATTCCAGGACAATTGGCCTCGTTTTTAAATACACTTATCGAATTAACCTACAAAATCAATTTGTTATCGATTTTTTTACAGCTATCTGTTATGTCTATCGATTTATATTGTTCGGTCACCCATAGAGAAATTTTGTGTAGAACTTAACTTCCATTGAGGCCATCACTCCAAAATGAAATCCTCCCGGACAAATTGACTACTTTTTAAATGTATCGCCAAATTATCCTTAAAATATTCTTTTTTAATTGACTCAATTTGTTAGTGATTTTTTCATGGCTATATATTATATCTACCAATTTATTTTGTTCGGTTTGGGACAATTTTACCATTTTAAAAGAATTGCATACTTTTTGGCATGATCTGTTTTTACTTTTTGTTATACAAAATTTTTGTTGGCGTATAACAGTTAAGGCAACAAATGAGAAAATTCGTTTCTTCTTCATGGCTTGTGTGTTATTTAAATGTGTGGAAAATGGACTTTTAAATAACCAACCAAATCATTTACTAGTTTCTTCATTTTAGTTTATAGGGAAATGCTTCATACATAGATTGATATTCGTCGACCAATATATACATAGCTTGTGTTTCACCCGAATTCTTTTGAAATGCTTCAAGATTGCTTCATATAATAATTCATTGAATATAGATGAAAAATATAGTTATCAGAGAAACATATTTTGTATATATTTAAAAAAATGGGCTAAGATATATATTTTTGTTGAAATTTAATGCCACATAAATAGCATTAGTGTTGTAAAGAGATTAATGTGTTTTAATGTTCAATTTTTTTTGTTAGAAATATGAAAATGTTTTTTATTTGTCTCCTAACTGCAGCTGCTAAACAATTTCTAAATACTAACCCCCCTAACACCTAACTTTTTTCTTGATATCATAACAATACAGATTTTTATTAATAATACTGCACTCACTCTCCTTTTCCCCCCTAACCATTTGCCTTGATTTCTATTAACACAAACTATATTTTCTTTATATATTAATTTATTTTCTTTTACTACTTTTTTGAAAATATTTTATTTATTTTGTGAAATCTTTCTTTATTTTTCAACTTTATTTTGGATTGTTTTGAACTCGATACCAACCAACCAACCCCATATCCTGTGTGTTTTATACAATATAAATATATATGAAACTTTACCAAAACGTTCTGAAACCTCCGTTCAATTTTGTAGCAACTCTAAGTTTTATCAATGGTGAACGTTCCCATACGGCTACAAATCGTAAGCCACCAACAGGTCGAGGTAATATATTTGTCCTGTTAAGCAAATTTCCCAATAACAAAAGCAGCAAGTATATAACAACAAAACCCGCTGCCTAATAATATATATCACCAAAATCTTCTCATCCACTTAAAATCGCACCACCCCTCAACCACATTTTTTTCTCTCTATCTAACCCCAAATCGAATCTCATAAATGCCACAAAATAATAATCACAGTGTATATATACTTTGTAAATATTGATAAATATATTAAACAAAATTAAAATATTAAAAAAAGGTTCTCAGGATTTTATTGTTGACAATTGTACAATTTTTTATTTGTGCCCCCTAAAAGTATGCTATAATTTTCAATTTTTGTTTTTTCATAAAAAATGAAATTCTTCTCATCTGGCCCAAGGTCTCCCTAATTTTTTGATAAATGTTCTATATACAAATTTCTTTTGTTACAAGACACATAGTGAAATACGATTTCGAATATTTTTCCCATTGAGAGTCAACCTCTACCATCAAGTTTTGTGGGGCAAATTTGTCCCAATTCAAAGGTATTAAAATTTTAACCCAAAAAAATAATTTTTCTTAACGGATTTAATCTGTTTCCAATCTTTTTATTGTCATGGATCATTCCGGACAGATTTCTTGTGGTCGGTGACCCATAGTGAAATTTAGTTTAGAATATAATTTTCATTGGACCCATCTCTCTAAAATGAAGTGGTCCAGGAGAATGTGGCTGCATTTCAAATTAATACGAAATTAACCTAAATTAAGGTCTCAATTTGTTGCCTATATTTTCATGGTTATATATTATATCTACCACTTTCTTTTGTTTGCTGACCCATAGTGAAATTTTGTGTAGAATATAGTTTCCATTGAGGTCATCACTCTAAAATGAAAGATTGCAGGGCAAATTGTCTGGGTTTAAAAAGTCCTTATATAAAATTAACGTAACGTGTATATATTTTATAGCTATCTGTTATGTCTATCGATTCATTTTGTTCAGTGACCCATAGTGAAATATTGTGTAGAATATAATTTTCATTGGGTCCGTCACTCTAAAATGAAGTGTTCCAGGAGAATTTGGCTCCATTTCAAATTAATACGAAATTAATCTGAAAAAAATTGTCTTGCCTTAAGTTCTCAATTTGTTGCCTATATTTTCATGGTTATATATTATATATACCGATTTCTTTTGTTCGGCGACCCATAGTGAAATTTTGTGTAGAACATAATTTCCATTGGGGTCATCACTCTAAAATGAAAGATTCCAGGACAAATTGTCTCGGTTTGAAAACCCCTTATAAAATTAACGTAGAAAATTGTTTTGTCCAAAAAATCAATTTGTTATCGTTTTTTTTATAAATATCTGTTATGTCTATCGATTCATTTTGTTTGGTGACCCATACTGAAATTTAGTGTAGAAAATAATTTCCATTGACCTATAGTGAAATTTTGTCAAATTAATACGAAATTGACCTGAAAATATAGTATTGCCTTAAGTTCTCAATTTGTTGCCTATATTTTCATGGTTATATATTATATATACCGATTTCTTTTGTTCGGCGACTCATATTGTGCAATATTGTGTAGAATAAAATTTCCATTGGACCCAACGCTCTATAATGAAGTGTTCCAGGATAATTTGGCTCCATTTCAAAGTAAATTTCAAATTTCAAATTAATATTGGTTATTTTTATCGATATCGGTTATACTTACCGATTTCTTTTATTCGATGACCTATAGTGAAATTTAGTGTAGACAATTTTTTGCAATGGAAGCTATCCACTAAAATTAAGTTTTGTGGGACAAACTAAGCTCTATTTCAAAGAAATCACCAAATTAACCTAGAAAATAAATTTGCAAATTAATATAGATTATTTTATCGATATCCATTATATTTACCGATTTCTTTTGGTCGGTGACCTATGGTGAAATTTAGTGTAGAACATTATTACCTTGGGAAGCTCTCCTTTAAATTTAAGTTATGTGGGACAAATTAAGCTCTATTTCAAAAAAATCACCCAATTAACCTAGAAAATAAGTTTGCAAATTAATATCGGTTATTTTACCGATATATGTTATATATACCGATTTCTTTTGGTCTGCGACCTATGGTGAAATTTAGTGTAGAATATTTTTTTCATTGGAAGCAAACCTCTAACTTTAAGTTTTATGGGAGAATTCGGCTTCAAGCTAAACTGCAAAGGGATGCGGTTTTACCTTAAATAATAATGTTCGCCTAAAAGTATGCTTTAAATTTTAAATTTGTTATTCACTTGACAATGTGAATAATCTACGGTTATTTTTGGGAAACTAAACTAAAAGTTATCTTTTTGTATAATAATTATAGGTATTTTGTATTGCATTTGAAATAGACATTTTAATTATATAAATTTTTTATATAAATATTAATTTTTTTGAATTCAAAATTACTAATCCAAATCTCAATTAATTTTATAGATAATAGAATAATAGCAAATAACTCAAGAATTACTCAAGATACCATAGATTTAACAGCAAGTCAAAGCATAGCATTCAAATCAACAAATTCATTTTCTCATGGCAAAGATGAATTCGATTTTCAAAATCATTTCAAAAGAACACACATCAAGAATATTTCAAATACTGCTGCTGTTGATGAAGAAGAAGAAGAACGACATCATCATCCTCATCATCATGTACCATTCAATACTAATAATGATAATAATATTTCTCGCTCACATTCCAATATGAATTTATTTTCCGAATTGCAATCGGTTGATTTATTTAGAAGGCAAAAACGCAAACAAGAATTAGCCACTACTACTACTACACCCACAGCCAAAAGATATGCACACGGCTATACTTATAATAAAAATTCCCAATCATTTTCTCGCAGTCCCTTAAAAGACCCTGCTGCAACCCTTGGTGATAATGAAAATTTTAATTTCAATGCATTTTCTTTAAATACTACCCCTACCACTAACAATGCTCCTAATATAGGGACCCTAGTGGAATCCTTGTCTTATGATTATCCTTATTTTGAAAACCCCAAGCCCTCCTCCAATATTTATGATTATGCCAATGAGGAGTTCAAAGAGAATATTTCCTTTTTAAATCGAAAATTTTTCATATCCGAAAAATGTCACACCCCCAAAATATGTAAACCAATTTTAGAGACCTTAGATAAACCCAGCGATTTGCAAGAGCATTATGTTAATGCTCAATGCCCATTAGATTTGATATGGAATATACCGATACGTAGAAATTATAGTCCCTGTAGCATAACACCTGAATTGATACAATCACCACGTAAAGGTGTTGGAATAAATTCTCCCCATCAGCCCCGATCACCATATCGTACTGTATCTCACTTTGGTTTCAATTCACCACAGAGACCACCAAGACCCCACCATAAACATGTTCCGCCACCTGATGTGATGGATACAGGGAAATATAAACCCCTACGTCGTTCCATATCCTATGAAGAGATATTCTCTTCGGGACGTTACATTGATTTGTGTGAACATTGTTTTGAACAAATTGTACGCTTTAAGCCGGAACTAATGGAATATCGTCGTATTCGGCTTAGGAATTTGATGGAGGTTTACCAAAGAGACTCGAAATCATCAACATCGGGACAGGATGGTTACATTAAACCTGAAGCGGAAGAAAAATTCTCCTTCAATGGTAATGAAAATTTGTTTTCATCCTGCGGCCCCTTGGAACCTCTAATTGAAGTCGAAGAGAAGGATAGTTCCGAAAGTCACAATTCCACATTTCTGGATAAAATATCGCGCATGAATTATTCACATATATCCAACAACAACAATAATAATACACCTCATTATGAACTGGCATTGCCAGGAAGAGAAAATCAGACCTTGGGTTTGGAACAAGAATTTCAAAATTTAAATATTTCCGGACCAGCAGGTGGGGAGGAGGAGGATAAAACAATGACAGAGGAGAACAATATTATTAGCATTACCGAAATATTGGATTTTAATAATTTCCTGGGTACTCTAAATGCAACTTCCCATGGAGAAGAACCTGCAGCCACCACCACCCCCACCTCCTCCTCTTCATTGCGTTCCCTAATGAATCGTGAAGAGCGCACACGACGTAAATTAATATTTCAAGAGCTATGGGAGGAGCATGTTGAATATTTGGAAAATCGTGAAGAGGTTGCGGGAGGAGGTAGTACTGGTGGCGGACAAGGTGGTTGTGGTTTCAGTGATACCGAATCGGCCATTGATGAAACCCATCGAGAAGTTTTTCATGGTCACAGTGTTGTCATATCCCGCAGACCTTTAAATTACAATAGAGAAGAAGAGCGTGGGGAGGAGGATGTTTTATCGGCCAGCTCCTCCAAATTAACCTTCAATATTTGTAGTGAAGATGAGGAGGAGGGTCGTTTTGCATCCTCTGAGGAGGCCAAATTAACCTTCAATATTAGTGAGGATGAGGAGGATCGTTTTCTATCCTCTGAGGAGAACCTATTGCAGCGCAGTTTTGGCAGGACGAATATTTTCAAAGATCAGCGAACTATTACCAAGGAAATAGAACAAGAAGAAGACGATTCGAATTCAGATGACAACAAGAACGAACCTCAAGGGGGACCAGAAACCGATGCAGGAGATTTAACTCCACCTATGAGGGGAGACGTGGAAGGAAATTATCCGATTATCTCTCTGGGGGGAGTGGAAGCAGAGAGGGATGGGAATTTAACTCCCTCTCAGAGTGGAGACGTAGGAGAAAATAATATGAATATCTCTTTGGGAGGAGTGGAAGCAGAAAAAGATGGAGATTTAACACTGACATTTGTAGATGAAAGTTCCGTGACACCTAAAAGTATGCAAAAAAAAGCTAATGAGAAAAATATAAATCCCCATAATGATGATAAAAATACCATAGAAATTAATGATTCTGATATGGATGAAGCTACTGGATATGATAATATGCAAATTATTGCAAATTTCTCCAAAAATGAAAATTCCGAACCTAATCTCAAAAATTTCAAAATCTTTAATACTAAAGAAAACATTG